CCGCGAGAAGAAGAGCCATCAGTCCAGCATCTTCTGGGCACACAGGCAGGCTGACGTCACCGCGCAGCTCTCTCCCTGGACTTCGACTTGGAGAGCCTACGAGAAGAGGGGAGGGGCAGCGCCACGCGGCTCCCGCGCCCCCTTCCTTCCTTCCCCAGGCGGCCAGCGGGGGGCGGGGGGGGGGGGGGGGGGGGACGGAGCGGGGGGAGGGACGGACGGAAGGTAGGGGGCGCAGCCACGGAAGGCCGTCTCTATGGTGAGGAGGAGGCAGCGGAGGAGGAGGCGGAGTAGCGCGACCGCAGCGGCCCCGGCGCAGGTACCAAAGTACAGGGGAACGAGAAAGGTACTTTAGGAGGCGAATCTTGGATCCGCCGGATGAGGAGCTGCTGCCTGTTGGCGCCCGAGGAGCCTCCGCGGCGCGCCCCGCCTCTGCCCACCATGCCCGCTGCCCATGCCGACCAGAGCCCGCGGATCCGGGAAGTTTGGGCTTGCAACCTGGACGAGGAGATGAAGAAAATGCGACCCGTTATCCAGCAGTACAATTACGTAGCTATGGACACGGAGTTCCCAGGTGTGGTGGCCAGACCCGTGGGGGAATTCAGAAGCTATGCCGACTACCAGTATCAGCTGCTGAGATGCAATGTGGACTGGCTGAAGATCATCCAGCTGGGACTGACGTTTATGAATGAGCAAGGAGAGTGCCCTCCAGGAACCTCCACGTGGCAGTTCAATTTCAAATTCAATTTGAAGGAGGACATGTATGCGCAAGACTCCATCGAGCTCCTCACCATGTCAGGGATCCAGTTCAAGAAGCACGAGGAGGAGGGCATCGAGGCACAGTATTTTGCGGAGCTCCTGATGACATCAGGAGTGGTGCTGTGTGAAGGGGTCAAGTGGCTCTCCTTCCACAGTGGTTATGACTTTGGCTATTTCATCAAGATCCTCACCAACTCTCCCTTGCCCGAAGAAGCCCACGACTTCTTCGAGATCCTTCGACTCTTCTTTCCCGTCATCTATGACATCAAGTACCTCATGAAGAGCTGCAGAAACCTCAGGGGTGGACTGCAGGAAGTGGCCACTCAGCTGGAGCTGGAGCGCATTGGCTCCCAGCACCAGGCGGGGTCCGATTCCTTGCTCACGGGTATGGCCTTTTTCAAAATGAGAGAAATGTTCTTCGAAGACCACATTGACGATGCCAAGTATTCTGGATACTTGTACGGTCTTGGTTCTGGAGCATCCCACGTCCACAAGAAGGCCCACAGCGGGGCGCACAATGGCTTCCAGAACGGCTACCAGAACAGCTTCCAGAACGTCCAGTATGTCCACTATGGCAGAGAACCAGTGTGGAGAGCAGACCAGCAAGCATTCATGAGGTCAAATAGAAAGCTGGGCTTTATTGTTTTTTTTTCATGCCTAAATCCATGCTTTTATACAGGTTTTAATCTCCATTTAAATCCCTTGGTCAATATAAGGTGCTTTTTTTTTTTTTAACCCTTCCTTCTCAACCTGTTTTCTCTATTGTCTTTCAGTACTAATTATAACCATTCCTTCCTACCACAGATCCTGATAAGTAGAAGAGTTTTCAGGTTGAATTTTGCAGTGTATTAATTAATCTACCTGTTAGCAAGTATGTGTGATTGTGGGGAAAAATCCATATCATACTCAATCTTTTGGTAAATACATCTAGTTGGTCTTAGTTTGGCCCCCATCCCTCCTCTCTTCCCATTCCCAGATTAACAAGCACTGACTGTAACTTAATGCCTTGTTTCATTTTTGTCTCTTCCAGCATGCAAGATATGCCACCATTTGAGGTTGAGGACCATCAATTCTACCCCTATGGAGAGTGAATGGGCTCAGATCCTGTTTTCCTAGAAGGTTGGAGTTTCCTTGGTGTTTGCCTGAAAAGTGATCATCCACCAATATCACACAGCATTCCCTCCTTTTGGACCCATGGAGCAGAGTATGTTCACTGTGTTGTAAATTGTTGACTCAGCTTAAGCTAACCCAACAAGGAAAAGAAGAACTTAGTGACTGCTTTTCCTGGTCTTTCATCTTCTAAGCACCTCCAGTGTTCTTGGTTTTAAATTGGTATATGTATTAGATCTGTGACTGACTAAATGTTTCAATCCAGCTTTACACCCTTCAGCAAAGTCCCCTGTGACAGGCTTTTCAAGATCTGTCAGGGAGCTGGCATCCAAGGAGCGTCAGCCTGAAGTTCTGTTGACAGCGTCTTTCCTTTTATCTCCTTTTTGCCTTTTAAGTCTACTAACATTTCTTCTTTCTCCTTCCCCCTCCCCTCACCCTTTTAATATCATCATATTTACCATGTGCTTGATTTGATGATTCTGCAAGTCAACTTTATAATAGAAAGTCCAAAGAGAGCAAAGTCACCTTAGGTATATTTTATACCCAATTAAATTTGAAGAAATAAGATTGTGCTTTTGTAGTTGCTAGAAAGACAAAACTAATTCAGAGTCTAGTTGTACAACAACAAAACATCCCCACAATTAACTTGAATAATATCAGTCATCTGAGGACTATAATGATTATTTATTTTTGTGTGTATATTTTTGCCATATATTTTCTATCTATTGACAGAAATAACTGTGAAGTACTTTCTTAGCCAT